CCCCCTCGAGATTTAGTATGCTTCCTTTTATTTGTGTCTCCTTTGTCATGGTTTCTTGGAGAGCTCCCTGGCTGAGTGCCCTGCACCCCTCCCTGGAAATAATGTAATCTTCACACAGTGCTTTATTGCATGTAACATTGAGTACAACAAATCTGCAACATTTCTTTTGATTCCATGTATTGTCATCTGATCTTCTTATCTTGTAAAACAGGTGGGGAAGGGGCCCGGGGGAAGGGGGCTATAGGTTCCATATATATTGCTCAGAAAACAATTTTGAAATAGTATTAACATTTTTTGATGGAATCCGCTAATTTTTCAAAATGCTATCCGAACTCGACTGCTACTCAGTCCCTGATTATTATACTTTATGTTTTATCAAGTGCCACAAATACGCGCGTATGCCCCTAGACGTTTGATTGTTACAAACTAGGTCTTTTAGCTATGTTATTGCAGATCGATAATTTCTTTTTAATTTTTTTTGTATTGCCGTTGTTGCATACTTTATTACATTTTCAATTTCTTTATTACGCTCGCAAATAACGATGGAACCGAAAATATAGAGAAATAAAGGAATGCACGTTAGCTTTTCACCGTCGTGTAACAAATGAATGAGCGGGTAGCCTGTTGTGAGCCTGCAAGTAACAATGCGGCAATACAGCTGCTCGCGCATGGTCATGCAAAATGGCCCCTTGTTCAGGGCCTCAGTAGCAATAGAAGCAGCAGCAACAACAGCAACAACAACAACAGCAACAACAACAGCAACAACAACAGCAACAGAAACAACAACAACAGCAACTACAACAACAGCAACAAGAACAGAAACAACAACAAGAACAGAAACAACAACAGCAACAGCAACTACAACAACAGCAGCAACAACAACAACAACAAGAACAGAAACAACAACAACAGCAACAAGAACAGGAACAACAAAAGGAACAACAACAACAACAACAAGAACAGAAACAACAACAGCAACAACAGCAACAACAACAGCAACAAGAACAGGAACAACAAAAGGTACAATAACAACAACAACAACAACAACAGGAACAACAACAGCAGCACCAACAAGAACAGAAACAACAACAGCAACAACAAGAACAGAAACAACAAAAAGAACAACCAAAACAGCAACAACCACAACAAGAACAACAGTAACAACAACAGCAACAAGAACAGAAGACAATAGCAGCAGCATAAATAACAACAACAGCATCAAAAGCAACAATAACAACAGCAACAACGACTGACATCATCAATAACAACAAGGAGATTCATTACAGTCTTTGACCCAGCTGTACTCACATGACATCACCATCTTTCCTTCCCTTGTCTTTACAAGTTGTCTGCACTACAGGTTCGCATGCTCTATAGAGGGTGTGGTCAATGCGATAATCCCCACCTGCACCAGTTTCTTTAAGCAATGTCGACAGAGCCTTGGTGCATTTCTTGCTKATTTTTGTATGTTCTTCAGCTAGTTTCATCAAACAGTCAAGAGTCTTTCCTTCTCTTTCCTTGCCCTTTGAGCAGTGGTTTTGAATCTCGTCTTCACAACTTGATACAACTTCAGGGTTGATTTTGAAGTCTTCCATGAGTTGTTTGCGGATGTCAAATAACTCTGATTGACACTTGCTATCGACGGGTTTCCCTTTTGAACAAATGTGCCAAATTTGTAAGTGGTCAGTGAGCAATAAGAATAAAGCACTCGGGCCAGTAACCAGGGAGAGTGCACTGGGTGCACGTGCAACCCCCCAGAGAAGGTCTGCTCATCTATGTCCATTTTTTTTATTATATGACATAAATCTTTGTTTTAGATTTTAAATCAATTTAGTGCAAAACTATAAATTATTTTGTCGAATTTACTCACAAATCGGCTGGATTTGTTTTTAAAAACTAACTGGATTTGAACTGAATCCGTGAAGGACCTTGTATAACATGTAGGGATTTTTAAAACCTTGTTATGCACAACGTTAAAGGATTGACTGTATAACAGAATGCAAACATATTCACTCACCATCACTAAGAGCATGTTCTAAGCAAAGCAAAAGATTAGCAAGACTACCGTGAGAGTGCTTCCCCTTAACACAA